TAATCCGGGGGGCCCAAAATACCCCAAAATAATCCTGGGGGGCCCCAAATACCCCAAAATAATCCTGGGGGGCCCAAAATAATCCTGGAGGCCCCAAAATAATCCTGGAGGCCCCAAAATACTCCTGGGGTGCCCCAAATTAATCCTGGGGGGCCCAAAATAATCCTGGGGGGCCCAAAATAATCCTGGGGTGCCCAAAATACCCCTAAAATAATCCTGGGGTGCCCAAGATATTCCTGGGGTGCCCAAAATAATCCTGGGGTGCCCAAAATTACTCCTGGGGTTCCCAAAATACCCCTAAAATACTCCTGGGGGTGCCCAAAATATTCCTGGGGTACGTAAAATACACCTGGGACCCCAAAAATCGCTCACCCCGGCACCCCAAAACATACCTGGGACCCCAAAAAACCCCCCTGGAGACCCCAAAATCGCCCCCCTGGGCACCCCAAAATACTTCTGGAGACCCCAAAACACACCTGGGCATCTCCAAAATACACGTGGGCACCCAAAAACCGCCCACCTGGGGACCCCAAAACACACCTGGGCACCCCAAAATACTTCTGGAGACACCAATACACACCCGGGCACCCCAAAACACAGCCGGGAACCCCAAAATAACCCCCCTGGAGACCCCAAAATCGCCCCCCTGGGCACCTCTAAACACACCCAGGCACCCCAAAACACACCTGGGCACCCAAAATAGACCCCCTGGGGACTCCTAAATCCATCCAAGGACCCAAAAAAACACCTGGGAACCCAAAATCACCCACCCAGGCACCCCAAAATACACCTGAGGACCCCAAAATCCACCCGGGAACCCCAAAATCACCCACCTGGGCACCCCAAAATACTTCTGGAGACCCCAAAACACACCCGGGAACCCCAAAACACACCTGGGCATCTCCAAATCCACCCTGGAGACCCCAAAATCGCCCCCCTGGGCACCTCTAAACACACCTGAGCACCCCAAAACACACCCGGGACCCCAAAATCGCCCCCCTGGGCACCCCAAAACACACCCGAGAACCCCAAAATCGCCCCCCTGGGCACCTCTAAATGCATCCCAGGACCTCCAAAACCCCCCCCGGGCACCCCAAAATCCCCCCGGGCACCCCAAAACACACCTGGGCACCCAAAATCGCCCACGTGAGGAGCCCTAAATCCATCCCAGGACCTCCAAAACACACCCGGGACCCCAAAATCACCCACCCGGGCACCCCAAAACACACCCGGGAACCCCAAAAAACCCGTCCCCGGGGAACCCAAAATCGCCCCCCTGGGCACCTCTAAACACACCTGAGCACCCCAAAACCCCCCCGGGCACCCCAAAACACACCTGGGACCCC